TGGGTAGAGTCATTAGAATGGTCATAATCTATGATCAAAGACTTTAAAAGGTGTGATTAGTAAACGGTTTTATTTGGGAAGTTATATTCACTATTGGTTGGGGATAATCGAATGTACTTAAACAAGCATTACAGACTATCTCGGTAAATTCTGATAACCAAACAATTTGCAAATTAACAACCAATTGTTTCAATCTTCCCTGTTTCTTCTCTAATTCCATTGCTCATGCATTTTCCAAACGATTGCGCTTCATTTCAGTTCTTTACTGATCGGTCTTCTTCCAAAATACATTCTATGTCTGAACAACACCATATACTACTTATATAGATATAAGTAGACCACACCACACTCGTCCCCTCTTTAAAGCATTCGTGCGGTGGTTCTGCACGCCATGCCACTATCTTCTTTCACCGCAGTCTGTGCCAAACTCTCCGTCAGAATGTCGAGTCTGCGGCGCGCTGACCTCCATAGCTCCGTCGACCTGCTGGGGCACCAACATCCGCATCCACCCGGCACCTGGGACGTTCAACACCCGTACTTCCCTCGGCCTGCTGAACCATCTACATTCAATGTACGCTCAGCAGCCGCACGTCCCACTACTCCTCTCCGTCGACAGCACAAGCTACAGTCAACGCCGCCCCGCCAGAACGCTCCACTCGACGCCACCTTTCCGCACCAGACTGCCCCAACTAGCACCTCAACTCCAGACCCGCAGTGGCGTCCGCAGAACAGCACCCTTTCTCCTCCTGGTTGGCAGCGACACCAAATGTAGTGAACAAAAATACGAATGGGGACAATCGAATTTATTTAAGCAAAAGTTACAGACTATCTGAGTAAATTCTGACAACCATACGATGAACAATCAGTTTGCAAATTAACAACCAATTGTCTCAATCTTCACCGTTTCTTCTCTAATTTCATTGTTCATGCAATTTCCTAACGATTGCGCTTCGTTTCAATTCTTTCCTCATCCGTCTTCTTCCAAAATACATTCTATGTCTGACCAACACCATATACTACTTATATGGATATAAGTAGACCACGCCACACTACCAGCCTCGCACCAGAGCATTTAACGGATAGACCACTGAGTCGGCATTCAACGGTGTAAATTTCTAACCTCAACCAATCCACGAAATTGTGCGACAACTTCCATTGTACTGAGGTAGATACCTGTCTCTACCTGACATGGATTAGCTGGTTTCTAGTGAAAAGTCGTGACCAGTGGAGCTCCTCTACCTCAGTACAATGGAAGTTGGTCGCACAATTTCGTGGATTGATTGAGGTTAGACATTAGCACCGTTGGATACCGGCCAGCTCACTGGTCTATCTGTTAAGTGCTTTGGTGCGATGCTGGTAGTTCCTGGGTTCGAATCTCGTGAGGCGGATTCGTGGATGCTCACTGCTGAGGAGTCCCACAATAGGACAAAATGGCCATCCAGTGCTTCCAGGTTTTCGATGGTGGTCGAGCTTCAATTGACTCATGAGCTCAACTATATATTCTTTATGCTTAATTTTCCTATAACCGTTGATATTGTCATTTCGATAGTGAATTAGTCACTATTGAAAATAACCCTTACAAAAGGGTTTAATTTCATATACATAAACAATGAAATGTTTAGACTGAATCAGTTATTGCTTATTTTATTTGTGTTTGTTTTACAAAAATAAGAAAACAGTAAATTCTCAAATTTTCGAATACCTTGGAATATTATTTATTTGTGTGTGGATCAGTGATTATTTATTTACTTTGAAAAATAGACAAAGTGAGTGAGTGAGAGTTAGATGTGGTTATTTCATTTGTACTCTTTATAAGTGCATTTTTATAGCTACCTTAAGCTGTATTAAATATAAGAAATTTTAAAGTAAAACTATCACAGTATTCACTGTTCTATCATTCCTGGTTATTATTGTTAATTAAGTATTAAATTTCAAGTCAAATTCCTTTCTTTTCTTTCATCAAAATAGATAATTGTAATGATGTATAAATCTTAAATAAGAAATAGAATGTATTTTTCTTATGTTCACATTTGTTCTCCCTAATGAATGGTTACTTTCTGTTTATCATATGAATTCAATGGTGGGACTATACCAAAAACACAATATTAGACATTCTATTTTTTTTGTTGATGAAATAGGAAATTTTGCATCTTTTCATTTTAAATTTAAAAAAGGGTAATTCGAGTTAGTTGATCATTGATTTTTATAGCATAGATTTGAATATGTCACATAGAGATTGTTAGCTCTATTTGATTCCTACTTTATATTATCCTTTAACTAGTCTAGTTGACTTAAATTCTTTTAATTTATCAAAATATTATTTTTTCGAAAATTAACTTATTATTTTATGACAGATAATCAAACGTAAATTTCTTAGTGTTTCGTAGAAAGTTAACTGTTTTAGATATAAATATCCAAATAAAAGAATTTAAAGCATTAAATTCATTCGTATTGATTGTTTGAATCCAATGGTCATACTACTTACTTACTTACTTTCGCCTGTTACTCTCACCGGAGCATAGTCTGCCAACCAGCACTCTCCAACCCACTCTGTCCTCGGTCTATCTTTCTAGTCCTATCCAATTTTTGTTCTTTTTCCTCATGTCTGTCTCCGTTTCTCGGCATAATATGTTCTTTGGTCTTCTTCTTCTCCTTTGATCCCCAGGATTCCATGTGAGGGCTTGTCTTGTGACGCAGTTAGGTGATTTCCTCTCCCACAGTATGTTGTTACTGACAGTGTTTTGTCAACGGATCCGAAGTATTTCGCGTAGACGACTGTTAATAAACACTTGTATCTTCTGGATGATGGCTTTCGTAGTTCTCCAGGTTTCCGCTCCACAATGTAGAACTGTCTTGACATTTGTATTGGAAATTCTAACCTTGGTGTTGGTTGACTATTGTTTTGGGTTCCAGATGTTCTGCAGTTGTAAATGTGCTGCTCTTGCTTTGCCGATCCACATCTTCACACCTGCATCAGATCCACCGTGTTCACCAATGATGCTGCCTAGACATGTGAAGGTTTTCACATCCTCCAAAGCTTCTCCGTCAAGTGTAATTTGATTCCTGCATGTTGTATTGTATCGGATAATCTTGCTTTTCCCTTTGTGTGTATTGAGATTTACTGCTTCTGAGGCTGCTGCTACACTGGTCGTTTTCTCCTGCATTTGTTGTTGCGTTTGTTATAGAAGAGCCAGATCATCTGCGAAGTCTAAATCGTCAAGCTGCATCCTGCCTGTCCACTGTATCCCGTGATTTCCTCCAGATGTTGACGTCTTCATGATCCAGTCGATGACCAGGAGAAAGAGAAAGGGTGAGATTCAGCAACCTTGCTTAACACCGATCTTTACCTCGAATGAGTCGGTGAGTTGTCCTCCGTGGACGATTTGGCAGTTTAGTCCATCATAGGAGTTCCGTATGATATTGACTATCTTCTCAGGCACGCCGTAGTGTCGAAGAAGCTTCCATAGTGTCGTCCTGTCCACGCTATCAAATGCCTTCTCGTAGTCGATGAAGTTGATGTAGAGAGATGAATTCCATTCGATTGATTGTTCCACAATGATCCGTAGAGTTGCGATTTGGTCTGTACACGATCTATCCTTACGAAATCCAGCCTGTTGATCTCGAAATTGGGCGTCCATGGAATCCTTCACCCTGTTTAACAATACTCTGTTGAATACTTTTCCTGATATTGAGAGGAGAGTGATGCCCATGTAGTTGTCGCACTTGCTGAGATCGCCTTTCTTTGGTATCTTGATCAGAATGCCTTCTTTCCAGTTTATTGGTACTTGTTCTTCATCCCAAATCTTACTGAAGTGGATGTGTAGTATCTTGGCAGTTGCTGCTACATTTGCTTTCAGTGCCTCTGCCGGGATGTTGTCTGGTCCCACTGCTTTGTCGAACGGTCATATGGATACAATATTTAAGTGGATAACGTGAAGCTGTTTGAAGTAAAAAGTACTGGGTTGGAATCTGGAGTGAACATCAACTCTGGGATGCAGGTACATCCAACTGATGAATCCCAAACAAAATGAAGTGTATGTCATCGATTCCATCACCAACCACTATTCATCTCTAGTTAAAAAATTGTAAATGTTGAATTTCGTTTACAACCCGAAATCCAGGAAATTAATTGTACAGTTAATTACATTCTTTTCATCAAACACGAAGGGACTGAGTTGTGTATGTGTGTGGGCGGGGGTCTGAAAAAAACTATCGAAAATTTCAGATAAAATGACACATCTGTTCAGTTGATGCTCTTTGGCTTTTAGTGGGTCTCTTTTTCCAACTAGTGTTGCTAAATAATTCAAAATAATTCATTTTCACAAATACTCCCATCCTATGGTATATACTTTAGTTTAATATGAGGAATTTCGGATAATGTGCACGAGGTCATTTGTCGACAACAAGTATCATTTTTATACAGTATTTATAACTTTAACATTTACTTATCGAAAAATTCAACCAAAACCCCGTTACAGTTTTGTTACTTGTAATTTAATTATAGGAAACAGACAACTAATTATGAATACTGTATAGATCTTAAGTAATTAGATATTTTTTGAAATTGGGTGATTTTTATAAACTTCTATTAATTTGAAGGTAAATTTATCACGAGATGAAATCTGAAAATCGATTGAAAACTATAGGGGGAAATACTTTATTCTAGATTGATACTGTTTATTCATGAGCATTCACAACTCTATACGGAATCAAAACAAGAACGATCAGATCTCACTGAGAGCATAATGTTATTGTGATGCTGTATAAAATTTTAATGACATTCGTTTCAAATTTCAAACAGTTTACGGTAATATGTTCAGTATTATCGAAGATTGACTATCTGAGTGACAACTACATTGATCATACGAGTCATTGTTCCTTACTAGAACTTTGAAAGTATTATCCCGAAGTCAGTTACCAGTAAGTTGGTATTGATTATTTACTTATATGGCTTGGTGATCATCAGCACTGTTGTCGACTAATGAAAACTAAACGAAAGTAGATAATAATCAATGTTTACTAAAGTGATGCCATTTAAGCATATACATACATATACACAAACGTAAATATTACAGCAGTACGTGATAATTAACAATAGTAGTAGTATTAGTAATGGTATTAAGAATAGTAATAGTGTATCAGTTTTGTTTCTCGGATAAGAATATGATATATATATATATATATATTCATAAAACGAAAATTTCATCAAGGGTTGAATACTCATGAAGTGGCGCTTAAACAAGAAAGAAATTATTGAGACACAGGGTCGAGAAATAAATGGTTAATTTACATATATATGCGCATATGTATGTTTATGTATGTGTATGCTTTGGTGTTTATTAATATAATCAATGTTGCGTAATCTATTGATTTATTGAATCTGATGGATATATATATATATCGTAGGTGTGATAGTATCGATGACAGTAGTGTATAAGAATATGAATGTGTATTAGATGCAATAGACTATGCATGTATAGATGAATGATTGATTGTATGTTCATGTGTGACTCCTGATTTGGCAGTAAACTAATAACTGATACCAATCGTCGTCTACAATATCAGCAGGTATACGGTATTCTTTCTGAATGAATATTACCTGGTAAAATGGTTGTTTTCACTGAATGTATTGATTTTATAATGTATTGTAAATTTTGAAGTAAAATATTAGGTGTAAAAGGACGGAAAACAAACCGAAAGAGAGTAAAAAATTTCCCAATGATCCAAATTGAACAATGATAAAAAGATTTAAATGCAGACGAGTAAAGGTTAGTAGGGAAACGTATTATTTAAATTATTCCTCTTTGACTTATTCTGCTTGTTCTCAATCGTTCAGAAAATGATTGTGTAACAAACAGGTAAAGTTTAGTGATAGCATGTGCAATTTCTACATCACCTTTGGATATTGTCACATGAACAGAGATTAGAATATTCATTGGAGCTGGTAGTTTACGAAGTAGGCGAACTTCAACACTGCCAATATGTGAACGACTTGGTTGTAGCTATAATTAAAAAATAGAAAAAAATGAACAGGAAAGATACAGTTTCAATAAGTAGATCAATTCAGTTAACTTCAGTGAGAGTACAAATATTGTATGAATAAAAAAATCTAATCATAAGTAATAGACATGTCTTCTAATCCGTTTTCAGCATGAATATACATTATTCTTTGGGAAACTGAAAAGATCCCACGATGAAGTCGTAGTAGTTAGGAGTCCAAGAGATAAATTACTGAAAAGATAAATGCATGAATATATCAGAACACGTACTTATCTTTATTAATTTTCCAAGAAAATAAATTTTTCCACATAAAATAGAACACTGATAATTTTAAGAATAGACATAAACCTCACATAGTTCAGCAATACATATAGAAAAAAAAGATAAATATAATAACTGCACTGGATTAACTGATATTCTTTCACTACCTCATAATGAATTTCCTTTAATGAGTGGGCTTTTATTTCAAGAATAATATCTCCAAAGAAGATGTGAGGGAATACTAATTAGAAACTAAAATTTGATGGAAAAGCGTTCCGAAATAAATGCATTCTTATTAATTATTTAAATAACTGACACAGAAATATCTGAAACAATTACTGACCGTAACAAATGAGAAAACAGAAATGAGAGACTTCATTTCCGATTTACGTACCATTATAGGTTCCTAGTATATCTTAAGCTTATTCTTTGGCTAACTGCTAAAAATCCACGATTTTTGGCGTGTTGCCAAAATCGTTTTGAATGTCAACATATAGGTCATTTTTAATTCATGAGTAATATATAAAGTTGTCTCAAAAAGACAGTTAAATATTATGAATTTTTTATTTATTTTCAGAATATATATATATATATATATATATATATATATATATATAATTACTATTGATTAATGAGATATCAACTATTATTAATTAACCATTTTTACTAAACTTAGTGAACCGTAAATTTTTCGAGAAACTGGTGATTGTGCTTCATTTATGAGAGATCGTCAGCTGACAATTTTGACATCAGTATTCATATTGATTAATACACGTTTAATTATCTGTCGATCAATGATAAGAGTGATCGATTATAATTGAAAAGTGTAAAACACTAAACCCTAATATTCAGCACTCATAGATTATGTGTTGATGAAAGTTTATATTCACATGTCCCATTGTATATATATATATATATATATATATATATATATATATATATATAATTCTTAGTAATCAGTGGTCGATGACTGTGGCGTCTGATTTAAACTAAACAAATGGTTTGAATTAACGAATCAAATTTAGCCTTGACTTCGAAGCAAAATAATGTTGAGTAGTGTTTTAGGTAAATTCATCCTTTGTTCATCAATAAATTTCGAGCCTTGGAATTATTTTACAATAATCCGTTCATCCTTCTCAAATCATATTTTCTATGAGTAACCTTCTTTAGAGCAACTGGCGCTGATATTGTTTCTAGCACACTGACATTTGTATTGATAGTTTCATTTCGTTTTGCTAATGTGGCGTGCGGAATTGAACCGATACACATATGTGCCAGGTTCTACGTCTCCTATGGCTGACAGATTGATCAGTTCAAAAATGGACATGAATGATGTTAAGTGGTTAGAAATAGGCGGTAGAAAATTCTGGACCCAGGTCTCATGGTCCTGGGTACTCGTTATGAAGGCATGCCTGCAATCTTGAGGGGGTTGCTACTCGTAATGCTTTTCGAACCCACGTTATACAGATTCCCAGTTTTCGACATTGGCATTGTGGATAATGATCGACAAACTCCAAACTTAGATCTAGAGTTTCCTGTTGATTACTTCTAATCGCTAAACATTTTAGCATAGTTTACGTGATGTCGCTTCACTGTATCTAGTGTTCATATAGTAACTTGTCTATCAAATTCAGCAAACACTAAAGGACTAGATAAATATTACATTAGATAATACTTATTAATCAGTTAATTGTAAAGCTAAACAATATTTAAGGATATTTATCAATTAAATTTTTCGTAATGTATGTACTTCTGTCTGTGCAAAAGAAATTCCATGTACTTTGCATGAGTGCTTTGGATACGTAACTACAGAGAGAGAGATAACCATCGCATCCAAGTAATGACTACTAAATTTTAGTTTTCCATGATTGATGTCAGTTTGGAGTTACTGAAATGATTTCAGACTTAAGACAGTTACCTAACACTTTCTATTGATATAATTCTAAATGCTTTGGTTACTACCCATGTACCATTTTCCACCAGTACGAAATCTCCTAAACAAATTATATGCCCAGTGTTTACAGAAAATATTTTATTAGATTAGCCTGATGAAAGGTGAATTAAAATGTTGATTTACTATATAGAGTTTTCATAGAATGATATAACAGTTAAGCAAACACACAAACATTCCTGTACATGATTTGTTGCATTTGCTTCGGCATAAATATGTGAAGTGAACAATGCGTGGGTAAAACACCTGTCAGTGAAACTATTGAACGACAAGTTAAAAGATGGATATCTGTAGGTGTTTACATCCTTTTCAAAATTTTATATGGATTTCTTATTTCCTATTGAACAATAAAATAACTGATGCAAAACGGTTGGACAAGATCTAATTGGGAAGAAAAAAAGACATTGACATGGATTTTTATATGGCTTACTTACTTATTACGCTTGTTACTCTCATCGGAGCATAGTCTGCCAACCAGCACTCTCCAACCCACTCTGTCCTCGGTCTATCTTTCTAGTCCTATCCAATTTTTGTTCTTTTTCCTCATGTCTGTCTCCGTTTCTCGGCATAATATGTTCTTTGGTCTTCTTCTTCTCCTTTGATCCCCAGGATTCCATGTGAGGGCTTGTCTTGTGACGCAGTTAGGTGATTTCCTCTCCCACAGTATGTTGTTACTGACAGTGTTTTGTCAACGGATCCGAAGTATTTCGCGTAGACGACTGTTAATAAACACTTGTATCTTCTGGATGATGGCTTTCGTAGTTCTCCAGGTTTCCGCTCCACAATGTAGAACTGTCTTGACATTTGTATTGGAAATTCTAACCTTGGTGTTGGTTGACTATTGTTTTGGGTTCCAGATGTTCTGCAGTTGTAAATGTGCTGCTCTTGCTTTGCCGATCCACATCTTCACACCTGCATCAGATCCACCGTGTTCATCAGTGATGCTCAATGATGATCATCTGCAAAGTCTAAATCGTCCAGCCGCGTCCTAGTTGCTCACTTTTTATATGTCTATGGGCTATTCATTCATAAACAATCATCATTTGACAACATCATGTTGTTTTCGTTGGCTGAATTACTGAATATTTATTTATTTGCCGTTTAATTAGTTAACTTATAAAGTATTCATTCACCTCTAACTAACAATAGTGAGATAAGTTTGTTTTTTAATAATTATTTTAGGGAAATTATTATGTTTACGTTTGGTGTACTTTATATTTTAATTCCCTAAACATCCTGACTTGTATTATTTATGTTTTCTGTTTTCTTTCCTTTTTCATTATCTTTTATTTTCCCCACTAACTAGGCTTAAATTGTTTTCTTCATGAAATTGCATCCAGTTGTATGTGACATTAAATATAAACTTTGAAGTAGTGTTTTTACAAAAACATAAATATGTTGAATTCGACCGCATATAAATTCGTGGCTTCAGGGTGCTCAGTTGCTCCAAAATTAAAGGAGTAAAAAGCAAATGCTTCTTGTCCTTTAAATGATCTTTGTATTCAGTAGCTCTTTACAAGACGCCTACTTATTTTAGGTTAAAAAACTACTTTTGAACAACAATTTGAATTATAATAATATGCCACTTATATACAAAATGATTAATGAACTAAATTTCCTACAAATTATTGTAGAAAAACGTTAAATCATTCAAATTCGGTTGATGTGAATTCTCATTGAAGATATTAAGTGATAATTGCTATTATTTAGAATGAATAAGTATTACAATAAACGACCATGGGATCAGGACACATATCTCTGTGAGACATAAAACTTAGGTTTGCTTGTATATGTGGTTGTTAATTTACACAAGGAACCACACAATGAACCAAGACAGATTTACAGCGATTTTGTAGCCAATCTTAACTTATGACAAAAAAACTAATGAGTTTTCTAATATTATAGACTTCTATGTATGTCAAGTTAAATATTCACTAAATATACATCGTCTGGAATCTTTGATTATTCTCACCTGTCAAATTATTTCAAGAAACAGCGTTTTCCAATCTCTTTATTCTTCATGAGTCAACTGTTTTTTACCTAAACCTGATAACTTATTATTATTTTAATGTCATTAAAAATTGAACGAATTTAGACTTAAAAGTACAGAATATTTCATTGATTATTGGGGATTATTAGCTATTCGTTAATTCCTACTTGAAAAAACACATTTAAGTTATGCTTCAAAAAATGCTCACTGAATTTTATCCGTAGTGGAATTTTCAATATAAGTATTTATAAGCTTTTTGACCACTACAAATAGTCTATATCGTTCCTATGATTCTCTGTTCTTATGAATATTGATTAACATAGCAGTTGTTGCTTACCTATACATCATAATTAAAATCATAGATGGTTTTTCACTGTAATTGTTTAGTGTGAACTATATTTATTACATAGTAGATCCAAATCGAAGTAATTTAATCTAATGCACATATATATGCATAAATTCAAACATCCGCTCACATTGATTTTCTTAAGCTAAAACTTATATAGGAAGACATTTAGATTAAAAACTACAATAATGAATTGTATATTAACTTCATGCCAGGTCAAATAGAAAACGTGATATATATTCTACACATTTGTATCTGAAATATTTAAATAATTTTGATATTAGTGTATATTAACGTATAGACACATAGATTTAATGTTTAGTTAGTTTCTGTCATCGATAAAATGATGGGATTATTAGACAAGTAGATAAACGAAGGTAGTTTGAAACCATATATTTTAAGTAGTATAAATTCAAAACATAAAAACGAATATATTTAAAATTCAAGATATGTT